CCTTCCCTTTGCTTGTGTGAGGTCGGGATGAAGACGTTTTTCCTCTCCGGGAAGATTCTTGCATGGGTGGCGAATATGTCTTCTGAGATTTGGCATTGTTTGCGACAATTTGAGTCAACAGGGCCATGAGTTCATTGATGGCCTCTTGCTGAGATTTGAGCATGGCGTCTTGCTCAGCCCAATGTGGATGAAGCTCTCATGCCCAATGAAAGAGCTTGATGATTGAGACTCCGCAATGGCTGAGTGTTCATCATCGGAATTAGTGCCTCTAGCTAACCTCCGATAGTTGACAGGGGGAATGGCTCCTGTTTGCGTCCGAGTGCGTTGGTAGATTCCTTCAAACTCGTTAGCGATTTCTCTGACGGTCGGTGAATGCCTTATCTCAGAGTCGTCAGAACTAGGACCTGAGGCTTTCCCTCTGCCGATCACATTGATAGTGACCTCAAGATATTCGGTCTCTGGAGACTTCTTCCGGTGAGAACATCGTCGTTGGTTGGGCAAAGCAATTTTCGTAAATTGGTCGAACACCAATAGTTTGGCCACATATGAGCAGCATTGATATTCCGAGAGGACCGTAGGAATGACTTGTTGCATCGGTCTTTCTCTCGAAATGAACACTCTCAAATCTATTACAAAGACTCGAGAAGAATTACTCACTGATTGTAAGGTTTGAGTTGGAACCCCCAGTCCACGATTGGACAGGACTGGCTCTTGGTGAACATGGATCTGGTTGAGATACTTTGAATCCATGGACTTTTTATATCCGCCCCTCAATCCAGTTGCGCTACACAGAGTATTCGGGGGTCTCGCTGCCCGGTCAGGGAGCCGGGGGTCCAGGGGGCGGCGCGCCCCTGGCCAGGGGGTCCGGGGGGGATGGAATACCCCCCGGCGGGGTTCGGGGCAGCGCCCCGAAGCCTCCACGATACTTATTACCAGGCTCTGTATTTGGCATTTCGTTCAACTCGAACGCATGCCTGAGCTTCAGGCTTTGCTGAGGCAAACGCATATTTGCAGATGCTTGCCGCTTTATTTGTGAACGCACCCCTGCAGGTTGCGTTCATTGTATGTGGAACGCGTCCCTGAGCGGTTGGCACTCAGTCTTCTTCACACAGAGCCTATGTTTGGGGCTCATGAACGCGAGGGCTTGCGTTCCTGAAGCAGAAACGCCAGAGCACATGCGTTGCGTTTAGGCTCACAAACACGAAAGCTCGTGTGACTTGAGGATCGACATTCTCGGCAGATGGCTCGTTTCGCTAAGGATCTCCTCCTCCGTCGACGGCATATCTTCTTAGCCTGCCTTCAAGGCTTTTGTCGCCTCACATGGACATCTTTCGATCGCCGATACCCGTCGTCTTGCGCGCGGTTTTGGCTGAAGCTGGACATCCATCGGGGGGCAGGGTGCTGCTCGAGCAGTCTTGCCTTAGCGGGTCGGCCTGCGCAATGGAGCAGCTTGCGAGCCTGTTAGTCTCTTTGGAGCACTTTGTGGCATCTGACGCATTAGCCTTGGGGCTAAGGGCATTCGGAGGAGAGGGCCTCCTCAAACTTGGCATTGATCAAACTCTACCATGAGAGTTTCGGACAGTTGTCTCCAGTGCAGATGAACGCTCGGATGCACCACCACTTCTTCGTCAGAGCAAGCTTCTCCCCAGCCAGAGTCGCCATCTTTGTTTTGTGGGAAAATTTGCCCCAAGATAAAAAAGACAATGAAGGAAAATTGATTTGTATTCCTTTAATCTCAGTTACAATTGGATTTCCTGATTACAAAAGAGAGGAGAATGATCTGGATTCTCCCCTTTGTTTAATTCTGGGTTCTTCACGGTGGCGATGAGATGCCTCCCTCGAATGCTCGCGTCGAGTTTGCTTCTCGTTGACGATCCGATGTCTTGTTTCACTGGAATGTGGTCTTCTCCTCACGATTTGATGTTGTGGAGAACTTGCGTGGCAAGTTTTAGAACTCTGAATGAGTTTGTTTGATCTTAACCGTAATTGGTTAGACAAGCCAAAGATCTCTTCTCTTCTGTTAAGGAGAAGGATCCAAAAGCCAGCCCGAGATCTCTTCTTTGCTGCCCAAAAAGAAGGATCTAAACTAAGTTGATTTCTTAGTTATTTATAGGGGATTAAGGGGTGTAACCACCTCCTTAATTCGCTCCTAAGTGGGGCTAATGGGATGTAACCGCCCCTTAAATCACTCCTGAGTGGAGTTGTGATCCCCTCAGATCGTGGGAAACGGTTTTGGAACCGTTCAGCTCGTGTTTGAACGAGTCAAACGCAGGCCCGCGTTCTGGCATGAATTCTGTGTCCAAACGCAATGCCTAAAAGCTTGAACGCAGCATCTGGAAGCTCGGACGCAGCGTTTGGAAGCTCATTTGCAGCGATTTAAGAGCTGCGTTTGGCAGAGGATCTGAGCTGCGTTTACAGTATTTGGAAGCTGCGTTCTGAAGTGATATGGAGCTGCGTTCTTTGATGTTTGAAGGTGCGTTTCGCAGTGTTATGGAACTACGTCTGGCGGTGATTAAAGCTGCGTCTGGCAGCGGTATAGAGCCGCGTTGGGCATCGATTGGAGCTGCGTCTGGCAGCGGCATAGAGCCGCGTTGGGCAGCGGTATAGAGCTGTGTTGGGTAGCGCTTGGAGCTGCGTTGAGCAGCGGTTGGAGCTGCGTTGAGTTGCGTTCGTGGCTATGAACGCGATGCGTCTTGATGCTGGTGTGCGGGGAGGACTTCCACAGTTTGATTTGAAGAGACCGTCGATTTGTAGTCTCTTTCTGTTGAAGCGTTGCAAAGATCGTCATTTTGTAATCTTTGCTTTAGCTCTCTGATATATGAGAGTCGTCAGATTGTAACTCCCGATGTTGATTATGAAGGCTGTTTGATTAGAGCTTCCATCAGTTGTCGTGAAGGTCGTCAGATTGTAACCTTTAGCGATCTACGTGAAAGTCTTCAAATTGTAACCTTCTGGAAGTCGTCAGAGTGTAACTTCCATCATCGGTGTTTTGATGGAGGATAAGCTATCTATTGTGATTTTTAGACAGCCTACAATTTCCTTTAAGAAATTCCAGCTAATAGTATCAAAGGCTTTTCTTATATCAATATTAATCATGACTCTAGGAGATATATGCTTCCTTCCATAGTTTTTGATTAGTTCATGAGCTAACAAGATGTTGCTAGAAATATTCCTGCCTTTGACAAAAGCACTTTGTGCTTCACTGATGAGATAATCCATTACTGATTGAAGTCTATTAGCAAGAATTTTTAATATAAATTTGTATAGGCTATTGCAACAGGATATAGGCCTGAAATCTGAGGGAGTTACAGGACATTGTACCTTAGGAACAAGTGTAATAGAGGTGGAATTGACTGCTCCCAAAAGTTTTCCAATTCTGAAAAATTCTTTAATAGCTAATGAAACTTCATCTCCAATGATCGGCCAAGCTGACTTATAGAAAGATATACTATAGCCATCAGGGCCAGGTGCTTTGTTGTCTGACATGGAGAAAACTGCACTTTTAATTTCCTCTCTTGTAACTGGTGCTGCTAAATTCCTGACTTGATTTTCATTCAGGCATGGACCATTTTGTATAATATTGTAGTTTGGAGCAGATGTCACTATAGCAGTTTCAAAAAGATTCTTGTAGTAGGAGATTAATTCATTTGTAATATCCTCAAAATCAGTAATTCTACTGCCTATACTATTGTAGAGAACTACCACTCTATTTTGATGCCTGTTTGACTTAATAACAGAATGAAAAAAATTTGTACATCTATCCCCTTGAATGCTCCATTTTATTCTTGATTTTTGTTGATAGAAGGAAAACTCACAGTCCGGCAGATTATTAAAGGCAGATAAACAAATTTTCTCCATATTGATTAAGTTGGGATTGAAAGGATCATGTTACAATTTTTTTTGAATATCCTCCAGTGCAGATTTTGCCTTGAGAACTTGCTCACTTATGTTAGAGAAATGCCTTTTGTTGAGATCTTTAAGAGCACCCCTCAACAATTTTAACTTGGAGCAGACTGAAAACATCTTGTAACCTTTAACATGAGATTTCCATATAGATGAGACAGTGGGCAGGAAATCTGCATGCTTAGTCCACATTTTGATAAACTTAAATGGCTTTTTCCATTGCATTTCCTCTGCATAGATAGAAACCAAGCCTGGGGAATGATCAGAAAAATTTAGAGCCAAATACTCTACATAACTTGCATTATACAAATGAATCTAGGAATTATTAACCAGGGTTCTATCAAGCTTGCACCAAACCCTTGTATCAGCATCCTGTTTGTTATTCCAGGTGAAGAAACATCCCATAGTTTTAAGATGAGAAAGTTGACAGTCATCAATAAATTGGTTGAAATCTATTGTATCAGAATCAGCAAGCATTGTTCCTCCAATTTTTTCTTCATTACTGATCAAATCATTAAAATCCGCACTAAGAAGCCAAGGTGTATTTGCTACAGATTGATGAATTTGAAGAAGATCAGCCCAAAGTTCCTTTCTAGCATCCACTTGATTAGATCCATAGATTGAATAAATAACACACTCAAATCTTCCATCATTTGGTTTTACAGAGCATGTTAAATGTTGAGCAGAAAAACCTATGACATTAAGTCCAACGTGCCTGGATCCTATAGGATCAAAATTCAAGCCTTTTCTGAATTTCTCACATTTGAAATCCATTTCCAGTTTGCAGCAATTTTCATTGCAATGTGTGGTAATCTTGTATCTTTTATTTTAGTTTCCAAGAGGGCAAAAAAAGAGAGATGATATTGCTTTACATGTTGCCTCACTAGATGTTGTTTAGGGGATTTATTCAACCCTCTCATTCCAAAAATAAAAATTTATCAATATCAATCAATTGTAGAGGGATCAATTCCACACACCCTAGCAGACAATGAGGAGAAAGGGTTATCAGAGAAGGAGCTCCTTTTCATATCACTTCTTTGCACTTGCAGCCCTAAGTTTCTAGGTATATTTGAAAACTTATTATTAGCTTTTACAGGCTATGCAATAAACCCAAAAACAGCATGAACTGAGCTCAGAACAGCTTGTGCATCATGCACAGAACACTGTTCAACAGACACATAATCCATTTTAGCTTGTGCAACCATACCTTCTTTTTCCAAAATCTCAGAACTCTGTCCAATCACACTGGAGTGCTTATCTAAATTTTGTAAACCAATATCTTCTTCAAGTCTACTAATGTTTCTAGACACCAAATCATGAGCAACATGGTCAGCAGGATTTCTGTCACCATTAGCCGAGACCATTTTTTGTTTAGGTATCCATCTCTGCATAGGTTGTCTCCTACAATTTTTTGTGCCATGGCCTAATATTTTACAGTAATCACACCACTTTGGCTTCAACTCATAAATCACCTTTTGAGTGAATTTCTTTCCATCAGGCCCTTGAATTAATATATGATCAGGAAGAGAGAAGGGCACTTTTACTTCAACTAGTATCCTTGCATAGGCCAATCTTTGCCTACTAGCTGTGAGTTTATCAGTAGATATAGGACGACCAATTGCACTAGCTATTTTACTTATACTCTTAGAATTTCTTAGGTTAAGCTTAAGTGCTGGCAGTTGAATCCAAATAGGGTAAATGCATTCATTTACATTTTCAATGTCCTCACCAATAGACCATGGTTTTAATAAAAGTGGTCTAGAACCAAAGAACCACGGATCATTTGTAAGAACATCATTCATATTTTCAACATTCCTGAATTTGAAAAGAAATACACCTGCCTTGAGAAGACAAAATTCAGGAATTGTCAGGTTTGCCCAAACTTTCTTCACAAAATTTTTCATTGCTTTAAACTTAACACTTATACCAAGAACTTTTCCCACAAGAGAAAATTTCCGAATAGAAGCACCCTCATTCCATTCATCTTCATTAAAACTCACAGTACCATCATCAACTGTATAGGGAGAGTAGCTGAGATCCATGCCACTACCAACTTTTCTATTATCAGCAAATAAACTCACCCAACATTTCTTAGCATTCTTTTCTTGAACTGACTCTACCTTAGAATTAGAGTTGGCAAGAGATTCTAGAATGTTAGCATTTTCCAAATTATCAGCTAAAATCAATGGAACAAAAACATTTTCTGAAATCGATCCAGAATTCAAAGGAACAGTAGTATTAGTTGTTTTCAAATCAAGATTTCTTGATGATTTTAGGACTGATTGCTGAGGAAAAGGAAAATTTTCCAGATCAAGATAAAAAGCCCAATATTTCCTCATAGAGCTACTAGCTTCATTAGTATTTTTTTTAATTTTTTTTTTGGGAGGGGGGGGGGGGGGG